ATTTAATGGGAATAGTATTGAATCTATAAATAACTGGACAATATGGCCATTTTAATGATATTGATCCTTTCTATCCATGAGCATGGAATGTTTTTCCATTTGTTTGTGTCCTCGCTGATTTCCTTGAGCAGTGGTTTGTAGTTCTCCTTGAAAACATCATGTATTTCTCTTGTTAGCTGTATTCCTGGTAACAATTTTATTCTCTTGGTAACAATTGTGCATAGGAGTTCATTCATGATTTGGTTCTCTGCTTGCCTATTGTTGGTGTATAGGAATGTTAGTGATTTTTCCACACTGATTTTTATGTCTTGAGACTTTGCTGAAGTTGCTTATCAGCTTTAAGAAGATTTTGAGATAAGAGGATGGGAGTTTCTACATATAAGATTATATCTTCTACAAACGATGATAATTTGACTTCCCTTCTTCCTATGTGTATACCCTTTGTTTCCTTCTCTTGCCTGATTTTCCTGGCAGGAACTTCCAATACTCTGTTGAATAGGAGTGGTGAGAGAGGGCATCCTTGTCTTGTGCCGATTTTCAAGGGGAATGCTTCTAGCTTTTGCCCATTCAGTACGATATTTGCTGTGGGTTTGTCATATATGGCTCTTATTATTTTGAGGTATGTTCCTTCAATACCTAGTTTATTGAGAGTTTTAACATGAAGGGATGTTGAATTTATTGAAGGCCTTTTCTGCACCTGTTGAGATAATGATGTGGTTTTGTCTTTAGTTCTGTTTATATGATAAATCACATTTATTAATTTGTGTATTTGAATCAGCATCCCAGGGACAAAGCCAACTTGATCTTGAGCTTTTTGATGTGCTACTGGATTTGGTTTGCCAGTATTTTATTGAGGACTTTTGCATTGATGTTCATCAGGAATATTGGAGGGAAGTTTTCTTTACTTGTTGTACCTGCCAGGTTTTGGTATCAGGATGATGCTGGCCTCATAAAATGAGTTAAGGAGGAATTCCTCCTTTCCAATTGTTTGTAATAGTTTCAGAAGAAATAGTACCAGATCCTCCTTGTACCTCTGGTAGAATTCAACTGTAAATCCATCTGGTCCTGGGATTTTTTTGGTTGATAGGCTATTTATTACTGCCTCGATTTCAGAACTTGTTGTTCGTTTATTTTGTTTATCTATTCTGGGATTCAATTTATTCCTGGTTCAGTCTTGGGAGGTTGTATGTATCTAGAAATTTACCCATTCCTCCTAAGTTTTATATTTTATGTGCGTAGAGGTGTTTATAGTATTCTCTGCTGGTTGTTTGTATTTCTGGGTTGTCAGTGGCGATATCCCCCTTATCATTTCTGATTGTGTCGATTTAGCTCTTGTCTCTTTTCTTCTTTATTAGTCTAGGTAGCAGTCTATCTATTTTATTAAATTTTTTCAAAACACCAACTCCTGAATGTTGACTTTTGAAGGGTTTTTGGTGTTTACCTCCTTAAGTTCTACTCTGATCTTGGTTATTTCTTGTCTTCTGCTAGCTTTGGAGTTTGTTTGCTCTTGGTTCTCTAGTTCTTTTAGTTGTGATGTTAGATTGTTGATTTGAGATCGTTGTCGCTTTTTGATGTAGTTATTTTAGTGCTGTAAATTTTCCTTTTAACACTGCTTAAGTTGCATCCCAGGGATTCTGGTATGTTTTGTTGTTCTCATTAGTTTCAGAGATTCTTGATTTCTGCCTTGATTTCATAATTTGCCCAGGAGTCATTCAGGAGCAGGTTGTTCAATTTATTATTTATTTATTTATTTATTTATGAGATGGAGTCTCACTGTGTTGCCCAGGCTGGAGTGCAGTGGCACGATCTTGGCTCACTGCAACTTCGATTCTCCTGCCTCAGCTTCCCGAGTAGCTGGGATTACATGTGCCCACCCCCACACCCAGCTAATTTTTGTATTTTTTAGTAGAGATGGGGTTTGACCATGTTGGCCAGGGTGGTTTTGAACTCCTGACCTCAGGTGACCTGCCCTTCTCAGCCTCCCAAAGTGCTGGGATTACAGGCGTGAGCCACTGTGCCCAGACTGAAGTATATTCACATATACACTTTTAAAAACAGTAGAATATTTTAATTATTGAAAACAATAGCCTCAGTGTGTTTAAATATAGTACTTTAGAGCAATCTTCTGTTGAAGTAATTTGGAACATTTTCTATCAATCTTTTATCTGTCACCACTTTTCTAATTTTAGTATATTTTATACCCAGACATAAATTACCAAATGTGCTTTAAAACTCACCCATTGCTCTTCCTAGGGTGATTTCATGACTCTGGGACTTCAAGCTATTGGATCAAAGCTTTGGTACAGCTCAGCAGCTGTCTTAACTACTCCAGAGGGAGCAGTTTGAGTCCTTCTAAGCTCATCAAAGAGAAGGTGTGAATTTACCTTTTCTCGCATCCCTTCTCATAACATCTGCTTCCCATCTCCCATATGCAGGAGCCTAAGGGGAGAAAAGAGCCATGGCAGAGGGAGATTCCGTTGGGAAGATAAATGCCTCTGACTATGTCTTCTTCAGTTCTCCAAAATCTTCTTACCATTATGTTTTAGAGCAGTTGGTAAATCATAGTATGCTAGAAAGAGTGCCGGAGAAGGAGTCCAGTGACTTTCATGACTGTCCAACTCTGTAGTGAGCAAACTCTGTCACTTTGGGCAAATCTTGGGTTCTCTGTTGCTCTGTTTCACCTATAAAGTGAGGAAATGAGATGTTATGATCTTAAATTATTTATTTATAGTTCTTTGACATTAATCAGTTCCTGACTTCTTTCTTCCATTGGTCATTAATATGTGTGTGTATATCTATATAATATATTCATATATAACATGCATGTGTGTGTGTGTGTGTCTATGTATGTTGTGATTTTTTCCCAAATCATAGCTGACTTCAGTCTTAATAATTACTTTGATTACACACTTTTCTACATAAAAATTGAAATTACAAAATTCTTGCACATAACCAAACAAAACCCTTTGAACAAATTTAAACAGAAGATTCAGTTGAGTAATTTTATTTTACATTTTTGCACTAGAATTTTCTACTGTGGCATCTTTATCAGATGTTTGTTGAAAGGTCATTACACATTAATGAATGATAGTATTGAGGACTTGGTCACAGATCTTCACTACGATGTTACAAACTATCTTAGAAATGAAAAATTTAAAGTCATATGACTAATAATTGAATGATTGTTTTAACAAATGTAAAGGCAATTGTGATGGTTAATATTCAGTGTCAGCTCGATTGGATGAAGGATGCCAAGTATTGTCACTGGGTGTGTCTGTGAGGGCATTGCCAAAGCAGATTAACATTTGAGTCAGTGCACTGGAAAAAGCAGACCCATCCTCAATCTGCTCGATCTGGGTGAACACCATCTAAGCAGCTGCCAGTGTGGCTAGAATAAAGCAGGCAGGAGAAGACGGAAGCACAGACTTGCTGAGTCTTCTGGCCTTTATCTTTCCCCATGCTTCCTGCCCTCGTATATCAGACTCCAAGTTCTTCAGGTTTTGGACTCTTGGACTTACACCAGTGGTTTTCCAGGGGCTCTTAGGCCTTTGACCACAGACTGAAGGCTGCACTGTTGTGTTTTCTACTTTTGAGGTTTTGGGACCCAGACTGATCCACCACTGGCTTCCTTGTTCCTCAGCTTGCAGACAACCTATGGTGGGACTTTACCTTGTGATCATGTGAGTCAGTTCTCCTGAATAAACTTCCTTTCATATATACATATATCCTGTTAGTTCTGTCCCTTCAGAGAACCCTGACTAATACAGTGATTTTCCTAAAATTCATGTTAGTTGAACAGAATTAAATCCCAAGAGTTTGCGGCTAGATTGGAATTAAAGACATGACAGTGGGTAAAGTGTCCAGGGAGTGTGGACCAAAGCCAACAGGGAAAGTTCAGGCACCTTCACATTTAACATATTGGCAGAGGAAGAGAAGCCAATGAAGGAGACTGAGAAGAAATGAGAGGTATCAATAGAAGATGAAGCAGAGGCTTCTTCTGTCAGAGAAGCAAGGTGGGAGAAACTTTCAAGAGAGGGATTGGACAATATTGCAAAATGTTATAAGGAGATAAAATAAGGATTAAAAGAACTTTTTGCTAAGAAGAAATCCACTCACTATAGTAATAGGGATTCATTTTAAGGATAGTTTATAGAATTTTATATAAACCTGAGACAAAAACCAAGCACAACAGGACCACAAAAAGACTGGCCACTGCGTGTGGAAGGCCAGTAGGAACCAAAGCTATTATTCACTCTACTTCAAGGGCCATCTCTGAGTAGCTACCCAGTTACCTGTTCTCAGCAAATACCTTGCTCTGTGGTTTCTTGTATATGGCCATAGTGCTGACCCAGTACCAATTTTTCATAGACTCCTAGGACCATTCCCTTATCACCAAATGCCAACTTTCCTTTGATCTTAGTTCAAATTCATGAGAGAGATACAACCTAGCCAAAATCCTTGTTTTTTGAACCTGTACACAAATCACAGTTTTCTGGCCTTTCCTGTGGATTGGTTGCCTTTAGATTAGGAATCTTCTCATGGCTAATCAGCTGTGCCTGAGTTGGGGAGTTTCTTGGGGGAGTCTTATGGTAGAAAGTACATCTAAGTCTATGTTTTGGATCCTGTAGGCCATGGCAGCAGATTCATTCAGAAGGGCCATTTTAAGAAAGAAGATGTATGTACAGGAGAAAATAGGCCAGCATGTCCAGTACGGGGTTCATTCAGTTTAGAACATGAGTGCACATGTAATTCTGGTAAGAAAGCTGTCATAGAATGGTGTGGGGTGGCTATTAGATTGTGATGGGATGAAGAGTAAATGGGAAGTGTACAAGTGAATGCAGTACATAAAGACCATATTGTTCAGGCAAGGGTGTAGGATTTGGCCCACTTGTGTTTTATAAGAAAAAGACTTAAAGATGGAAATATATAGGATCAGTAATGGACATTTTTAAAAGATTGAAAAGATGAGATCACTTTTAACAATTTTTTTTTAATGCATGTGGGGCGTTTTATGGTGAAAACCAGAGAGTCTGCTAGACAAATTTTAAAAAAGTTGTGATATTACTTAAAAAAATTTTTATACTAGATGGAATGGAGGAAAGGTTTAAAGATACATGTGGAATGAAGGAAAGGTTGAGGATACACACACACACATACATGCACATACACACATATATATTATATATACATTTTATATATATACACACTATGTATATATATATATATATATATGGAGAGAGAGAGAGAGAGAGAGGAAGAAAGAGAATGATTGATGGAACAGAATCTCTGAGGATGGAGAACAAGTGGAAGGATGCATCTGAAATGAGATGACAGGGGATACACAATATTTTGTGATGTATGAGGAAAGTGAGAATAGGCTGTATTGTACAACAATAACTAACACTTCAAAATCTTATTTTTTTAAAAACTGGTTTAACTCTTATTCATGCTATGTGTCTACTTCTGCTCTGTTCATTATAGTCACCCAGATGGATTTGAGATATTGTTGGTTTCCATGGCAGAGGGAAGAAAACTCTGGAGGAGCCCTCACTGGCAGTGAAATGCTCTGGCCGCAATGCAACACATGTCATTTCCCCTCACTATTGGTAAGAACTAGTTAAATACTGTCTAAGTACTAGAGGATCAGATAGCGTAATCTTAACTAGTGCTATAAAGGTAGATTATTGGGGTATTTAGAAAGCAATCTAATGATTACAATCAATAAAGACAATGGTGAGAGTGAAAGCAGGTAACTGTGAGTGACTGCCGAGAAACTGAGGTAGTCCTGTAAAGCAGAAAGTGAGAGGTACATAGACAGGAAGGGATGAGTTGGTGAAGGCTTGAAACAGTTGTTGGGAGACTGGCTAACTAGAGATGTGAGAAGGATTATAGGTTACTCCTTAGCACCTAATGGAGAATGCAGACTGAATTTGTGGTGACATGAATCTACTGATTCTAGATTTTCTCTGGTGGTATTCAGGAGCCTAGATATTGATGGGAAATGTGGATGATTGATTGATCTAGGATGGAGTTTTGCTGAGCAAGTGCAGCAGAAGGATAAGTGTGTGAGGGAATTAAAAATATTATAATAAGTGTATGGTTGAATGATGAGTCATGTGCTCTAAGTTCACAGGAAAGTTGATGAAAAGAGGAAAAATGGTTGGATTCTAGAAAATATAGAAGAAGCAGGATTGGTTAAATCTTAAATTATCTTGCCTAAATGTCTAAGAGTTGTTAAAGATAGTTAGGGTGCTTTGGGGACAGCCTTACTTACATAACTGTAAATCATGAAGGCTTTTATTTACTCACTCAATAAGACATGGAGATAAACCATCTGAAGATAGGGTCAGTGACTCAGTGTTACCATCAAGGACCCAGGCCCTTTCATTTGCTCAACCTCATAGCATTGGTGTTCCTTCACAGGCTTGTTACCTCATGATTGCAAAATGGCTGCCACACCTCTACGTAGCATATCCACACACACAGATAGGAAGGGAAGGTAGGAGATGAGAGTTCTTTCTTCTTGCATTCCTGACTGTATTATAGGAGAAATACGTTCTTTACATCTGTTTAGCTAGAAGTATGGCTTGTAGGCTAATCACCAGCCAAGAGCAATGGAATTCCCTTGATTGATTTTATACGTTTCCTTACTCATCCCATGGGACTGGGTACAGGGCTGCTGAATTACACTGGGGTTCTGTTAGTAAGGAAGACGGGAGAAATGACCATTGGAGAATTAATAGTGACTGCTACAAATGAAACCTTTCTTCTCAATGAATGATACAACCTCATGCTCAGGATGCAAAATAATTATCTTTGTTTATTTGGGTTAAAAAAATGTACAGATTTAGGCTTTGAGCCAGCAAATAAATTTTCACTGAAGGGAAAACATAGGAATATCATGTAAAATTTGAATTCCTTTTATGGAAAGTTGATCTCGCCCCCTCCCTGCCCCTGCCCCGGGCATGTAATGTTTCTTGAGTAAAACCTGCTGGTTGAGTAAAACTTCTACTAGATGATCAGTGTAGATGATTTTTCTCATTTCAGACTGCTTTTAGTTAAAATGGCTACCATACATCTAGTGAAGTCTGTGCCATTGTGGAGTAAAAATATGAGCATATTAGTCTTTTCTCACACTGTTATAAAGAACTACCTGAGACTGGGTAATTTGAAAAGAAAAAAGACTTCATTTGCTTATGGTTCAGCAGGCTGTAAAGGAAGATGGTTGGGGAGGCCTCAGGAAAATTACAATCATGGCAGAAGGCAAAAGGGAAGCAGGTATGTTTTACATGGCCGAAGCAGGAGGAAGAAAGAGAAGAGGGAGGTGCTATACACTTTTAACCAACCAGATCTCATGAGAACTCAGTCACTGTCATGAGAACAGCAAGGGAGAAATCTACCCCCTTGATCCAGTCACCTTCCAACAGGCCCCTCCTCCAACACTGGGGACTACAATTTGACATGAGACTTGGGTGGGGAGACAAATCTAAACTATACCACATACTAAATGTTCATGAGTCTAGATTATTCTTTTAAAAATATTGTGTGTTGGGGGGAGTGTAAATCAGTTCAACCATTGTGGAAGATAGTATGGTGATTCCTCAAGGATTTAGAAATGGAAATACCATTAGACCGAGCAATCCTATTACTGGTTATATACCCAGAGGATTGTAAATTGTTCTATTATAAAGACACATGCACATGTATGTTCATTGCAGCACTGTTTACAATAGCAAAGACTTGGAACCAACCCAAGTGACCATCAAGGATAGACTGGATAAAGAAAATTTGGCACATATACCCCATGGAATACTATGCAGCCATAAAAAATAATGAGTTTATGTCCTTTGCAGGGACATGGATGAATCTGGAAACCATCATTCTCAGCAAACTGACACAAGAACAGAAAACCAAACACTGCACGTTCTCCCTCATAAGTGGGTGTTGAACAATGAGAACATATAGACACAGGGAGGGGAACATCACACACTAGGACCTGTTGGTGGGTGGGTGGAGGGGCTAGGGGAGGAATAGCAGGGGGTGGGGTAGTTGGGGAGGCATAACATTAGGAGAAATACCTACTGTAGCTGATGGGAAGATGGATGCAGCAAGCCACCATAGCATGTGTATACCTATGTAACAATCCCACACCATCTGCACATGTACCCCAGAACTTAAAGTATAATAAAAAAAAAATTACTTGTACGCTTGTTTCCTTGATTATTTTTTCACAGAAATGCTACATACGATGATATATTCCCCAAATTCATGATAATATATTCCCCCAAATTCAGGTCTTCTTCTTCTTCTTTTTTTTTTTTTAGATGGAGTCTCACTCTGTCACCAGGCTGGAGTGTAGTGGTGCGATCTCGGCTCACTGCAACCTCTGCCTCCCGGGTTCAAGTGATTCTTTTGCCTCAGCCTCCCAAGTAGCTGGGACTACAGGTGTGCACCACCATGCCCAACTATTTTTGTATTTTTAGTAGATACAGGGTTTCACTGTATTGGCCAGGATGGTCTCGATCTCCTGACCTTGTAATCCGTCCGCCTCAGCCTCCCAAAGTGCTGGGATTACAGGCATGAGCCACCTTGCCCAGCCAATCAGATATTCTATAAGTTATTTGAATTTACGTTTCTTGTTTTATCAGATATAGCTTTACAAGTTATGTGATATATATTAATATTGAAAGAAAATTAGTTTTATCTGTTTTAATTCTTTCCGATTTAAATAGGAACCATACAGAATTTGCCAAAATTTTTCCATTCAACAGGAATTTATTTTGCCATTTCCATAAGAAATACAGTTTGTAAATGTTTCCTGGGATGTAAACATGGAAGACCAACAGTGCCTACTCTCAGGGAGCTTACATTATCACTGCTAACTAGATAAGTAGGCAATTAAATAGGTAATTATTTGAGCAAATGTTCTTCCACTACTTGAAAAATGTTAGCTATTCAAGACCCAGTGTGCTCTTTGGGTGTGCTATCATCCTTTTTTCTTTTTCTTTTTCTTT